ATTGTGATTGGTTCTTTGACGATGGTTAATAGGTTCGTGGTTTGGTTGAATTAGCGAATCTGGATCATCCAAATCCATAAGTTCGACTTCTCGGGTAATATTTGTACAGGGTGAAGGGGATCTTGATAGAAAACTTAAAGTATTAATATGGACTGAACGTGGTGAATCATCAAGCTGATCTTGATCAGCATCATCGATCTGCTGCACTAAATCTTTATACCAAGCCAGGCAAGTAACTGCTCTAGTATTTCCCTCTAACCTTTTGACGATTTGAGGTTTTATGGGTGAGGTCGATTGAAAATTTGATAATTGTTCTTCAGAAGGATTAGGATTCAAATCCCATATCAAAATGGAATTGTCATTTGATCCGGAAATTAACCAATACAGTTTTTCCTCTTGTTCTTCATCGGTCAAAGAGGAAATAATTCGGGGTATGAGCATCAATGTTCCTACTGTACCATCATGACCATACAATTTTTGCAAGCAATCGCCGGTATGTATGTTCCAAATTCTAATTGTTTTATCTACAGAACCTGAATAGAGAATAGATTCGTTGGGATTCATTGTCAACGAAATAATACCAGCTAAATGACCATTAAGTCTATATTTAATCGCATGATCATTGCTAATATCATATATGATGATACTTTTGTCCCAACCGCCTGACGCGAGGAATTTATGACCTAACGCCAAACATTGAACACCTTCGAAATGATCCTTTAGTACTTTGAGACACGTCCAATTGAATATATCCCACATTTTTATAGTCTTATCGAAAGAACCTGTATAAATTATATTTCCATGTTCGAATCCTGCGATACACGTGATACCTTCTTGATGGGCGCGCATAAGATATTGAGAAAAATTTTGCTTATCCCAATTTCTCTGAACTAATATATGATGCTTATATAATTGAAAAAAATGGTCTTCGGCATTCTTACTGTAATTAAAGGATTTCGATATGAGATTGATGGAGAAACCAGCAAGAATACATTGTCTTTTCCAAAGAGAGTTTTCTGTCGCTCGATCTTTCCAAGTTTTAGAAACTGTAATTTAGTATAATATAAATAGATTGTTATTTTAACGATGATCGTCATTGAATGTAACATTAAATAAACAAACAAATAAAAATAACATGTCTCGTGAAAATTTGATAAGTATAATTGAGTGCAAAGAGCTATTTAAATAATCTTGAAACGCATTTTTTTATTTTTTTTTTATTTTTTTTTATTTTTTATAATATATATATAAAAAAAAAAAAAATAAAGTAAACATACCTTGTCTAATCTTGCATAAATTTTCTGCGTCTAAGAATTCAAGCAAGTAAGTGGTCATGGAAAGAGAGAGAGCGGAAATTATGTCTTTATTTAGGTGTTGCTGGTTTTGCTGCTGCAAATACTCTGACAATTTTTTGCGTTCGGTCAAAGATAATTTATCAACTAATGACTGCACATATCCTAAACCGAAACCATCATCAATAAGACGGCTCACCCCGTCGTCTTTTGACATTGCAGCAAATTGATGAGGAAAAAGAGGACTTGGAAAATTTGCATCATTTAAGGGGGTTAAAAAGAAGCCGATCTTAATTGCATAAAAAATACATTGTTCCATTGAACATGACACTAAAGTAAAATTGTATATATATTTAATGTAAATGATAACTTTATCCATTTAGTTGTAAAATCATTGCATTTTTAGCGTGGATTTTATGCAGTTACTATTTAAATAAACTTGTCAAAAATTGCACAGCATATGTCAAGTAACCTTAATTTTTAAAGTTTAATGTCAAATATATATACATTTATTTTAAATTCTAAACAATTGTACCCTGTAACGCAGAATTTTTTAAGAATTTTACACGTGAATTAATGTGTTTTGCTAATTCTGGTAAAATATCATAATTCTGCCCAACATCCATATTTGACCAGGATTTAAATTGTGAAAACTTTATAAATTTTTCTTTAGCTTTGTTAATCATCTTCAAATGGCGTCTTGCTCGCATTTCTCGAGTGCAAATCTGAAAATTCCCACTGACTCTAGTCGAATTCATAAGGAGGAGTGTACGCTTTGTTTTGATTCACAGGTATAGCAAAGTAGTATTATTGCTTTTTTTTAAGAGTGTCGTAGTTTTATTTTTAAAATTTATTGAAATAGGATTTGCCGCCAGGCATCGATGTTTGTTTGACGTGTTTTAATGCGGGCTGTAATAGTTCAGAACGTCATCATGCTGAAACCCATTATCAAAAGACAAATCACCCTCTAGTTCTAAACGTTTACCGAATGTTAAAAGATAAGCCAAAAAGGGTATGCTTAGGAGATCATGCCTATTTGTTGTGATTGTTCGATCGTTAATGTAAATATATTTCTATTTGATTTTAATTATAGGCAGTTGAAACTGAACCTCCTCAAAAAATTAGTAAACTTGCGATCGTTCCAGAATCTGACAAGGATAAATATGAATATGTTACGCGAGCCAAATGTTATGCGTGTGGCGGTATGGAAGTTGATAAAACCGTCGGAAATGTAATATATATATATATATTTTTTTTTCATTTTTCATTTTTTAATGTTTATTTTATTTTCCTTTGTTAAATTATTTAAATTCTTTTAATTTCAAAATGCAGTTACCCTTTGTAATTGATTCGGTCATGACTTCGTTATCTGCTTTAAAAAAGTCTGAAGCAGAAGCGTGGGAAAAAGAAATTACTGCATGTGATCATACACGAAATTTAAAGCAAGATCCTCCGAAAACATTGGAGTCAAAAGGTGGAATTTATTCTTGTTTCATTTGATGATCTTTACCAGTTTAACGTTAATTCATATAATTTTATGTTTTATAATAGTTTTGGCACATTGTAAAGAATGTGATTTAAAGGAGAATCTTTGGCTTTGTTTAACTTGTGGGAGCCTTGGTTGTGGACGACAACAATATGGTGGATCAGGCGGAAATGGACATGGTTTAGCTCATTTTGATAAAACCAAGCATCCAATATCTTGCAAGCTTGGAACAATTACTCCAGAAGGAACAGCAGGTTTAATTTATAAAAAAATTCTAAATCATTTTGCTTATAATTTGTGATGAAAAATATTTCTTACTTCGTATTTCTCATAGATATTTATTGCTATTTATGTAATGACTCAAAATTGGATCCTTATTTGGGAAATCATTTGGGTAATTTTGGAATAAATGTCGAATCACAACTGAAAACTGAAAAGAGTATAACCGAATTGGTGTGGAATTTACTTTATCAATTTATATAATAATTATGAACTTATGAATTAATTATTATTATAATTTTTGTTATTTTTAAAAAAAAGGAACTTGAACGAAACCTCGAATTTGACTTTACCATGATTACTGAGGATGGCAAAGAACTGGAGCCGTTATTCGGTCCTGGTTATACTGGTATTAAAAATTTGGGAAATAGGTAAAACAAACCATTTCATAATAACTTATATATATTGTAAACAACTGATGAATAAACTAACAAATCTTTTATGGGAAGTTGTTATATGGCTTCTGTTCTTCAAGCTGTTTTTTCTTTGGATGCGTTTCAACAAAGGTATGCGGTGTTGATTCGAGATACTTTTAATTGAAATTCATTAAATCACTAAAAACGTAATAAACATCAAGATATTATCCAACTGCGATGGAGCATCATTTGCAATGTCCGCAAGAACCAGCAAATTGTCTTCAATGTCAGTTATCCAAGTTGGCAGATGGCTTGTTGGGCGGTCGTTATTCTCAACCTGTTCAGGCGGGTGAAGCGGAAAATGATAAACGTGGACAAGATGGTATCTCTCCAGCTATGTTTAAAGCATTAATTGGGAAAGATCATGATGAGTTTTCCACCATGAGACAGCAGGTCTGGAAAGAATAAAATGACTCTTCAAATTTTTCGTGAAGAATTAATTGATTTATTATTTTCTAATACATTAGGATGCTCATGACTTCTTGCAATATCTTATTACAATTATCGAGAGAAAGGAACATAATAATCCAGAAAATGATCCAACCAATATCTTTAAATTCACAGCACAACAACGTTTACAGTGCTTGGAGTGTAAACGGGTGCGCTATACTGAAAACTCTGAATCAATTATATCAATTCCCGTCCCTGCACATAAAATTGAAGGTTCCGAAGAAAAATATGAACCTATAACATTTGAAAAATGTATAGAATCTTTTACAGGAGATTCTATGATTGAATATTTTTGCCCAGCTTGCAACAAGGAAACTCATGCTACCACGTAATAGGCAATCTTTTTTCCTTAACTCTTTATTTCGCTATTATGGTAACTTATTTAAGTCTTTATTATTACAGAAATAAAAGATTTGTGACATTTCCTGAAGTTTTCGTTATTCATACAAAAAGATTTGATGAAACAGAAAATTGGGTTCCTCGTAAAATTAGTAAGAACTATTATTTATGGGATCTCCATTGCTTAACCTAAACCAAAACTAACTTGGTAAATTTTTGTAGACGTTCCCATTCTTTTTGAACAGGATATTTTAAATTTTGACAAATATATCGCACATGGAAAGCAAGAAAACGAAGAGCTTTTACCTGGTTGGTGTGATCATTGTATTCATAATTATTATACGAAAGAATTTTTTATAATTCAAATTTTACAGACTCTTCGGCACCCGCTATTGACGAAAAGGTTCTTAATCAGTTGTTTGAAATGGGTATTTCTGAAATCGGGTACAAGAAGGCTTTGATTGCTACTGGAAATAATGGAACTGAAAGTGCTATGAATTGGTTAATGGATCATATGGGCGATCCAGGTTATAATTTAAAATCCTCAACTAATATTTATTCATTTTAATAGTTACTAATTCAATTATAATCTTTAAATTTATAAAGACATCGATAAGCCAATTGCGAGTTCATCCAGTACATTAGGGCCTTCCGAAGCCGATGTCAGTCAGTTAATGGATATGGGATTCACTAAAACGAGAGCACAAAAAGCTTTAAGAGAAACAGTTTGTATTCTTTTGTCTTCTGTCATTTGAATCGATATTTTTCTTTTATTTATTTACATTTAATTTACCCTTTATAGAACAACGATGTTGAACGGGCTGTCGAATGGCTCTTTAGTCATTCTGAAGAGGATTCAAACGAAGTTATATCATTGCAACCGGGTCATGATTCTAATAGTACTATTGGAGGTAAATGTTATCTTTTAAATCTTGTTATATCACGATGATTTGTTTTTAATGCTTCTCGATTTTTTTTTTTTTTTTTTTTTTTAAAGACTCTATATTACCTGCCAATTATCGACTACAAAGTTTTATTTCTCATAAAGGTACTTCGTTACACTGTGGTCATTATGTAGCTCATGTATACAAAGACCAACAATGGGTGTTGTATAACGATAACAAAGTAGTCAAAGCTTGTCAAGTTCCTTTAGGAGAAGCTTATATTTATATTTTGTGCAGGGTTCGATCTTAGTTTGAATAATTTTTTTTTTTAACGATCAGTTTATTAATTATACTTGAACAAAGTTGTGTGTACGAGGAATTATATATACCAAAGCAATGTGTGACCTTGTTAAAATCTTTTTTTTTTAAGATACAGTGAGGTGTGATATAATAAAATAATATAGGTTCCAAAATGCACAAATGTCGATATGACAATTTTTTGCCTTGAAAGGTTGTATTACGTTTTATTAGTATTAATTTGATAGTCTTTTTGCCGTCGTTTTATAGCAAATTTTTCATGCACATTCCCGGATAAAAAATATTAATACGTCCATTTCGATAAGATTCAAATTTATTTTTTAACCTTTTCTTTCCAAAACTTTTCAGATATTAAATAAAATTTGAGTTCATAGAAGACTTAATATGTATTCTATTATCTAATTATTTTTTAAACTATTATAAAAGGATAAATGATTATTTATTACATATAGACTACTACCATTTTATTTAACATATTCTTATTTTACTATTAGAATAATTTAGTAATATACTTTTCAATAACAAATATTATAGATTAATTAAGTTTATTAATATTAAATATATAAAAAAATCATTAAAATTAATTAAACCAATTTACTATATTAATTATGGTAATTAAGAAATATTAATAAATAAGTATTAATTTTATTAAAATCTTCAAACTTTTTATTTTAAAAAAAAAATCTAAAAATTAATTCTATTTAATTCTATTAAATATATTTATAATAAACTAAATTAAAAATATTTATTATAAATAATTATAAATATTAAATTCAAATTTAATTTATAATAAAATTAATATTTTTTTTTAATAATTTAATTATTGATAATTTCTTCCTTTCTATTACAAAGTATCTATTATTATTTAAAATATAATTAAATAAACTAAAACACTTAATCAATTAAATAGCAGTAGAATTTAGCTCTAACTGCTCAATAAATTTAGAAGAGACTCAAATAAAATAATAAATCTACAAAATGTTAAAATATGTTTTAACTATTTAATTCAAAATACTTAAAATACTTATTTATAAATTAAATTTCT